AACTTGGAAAAACTGGGAATGGAATGTCCCAAAAAAGATTTCAGATGAGAAAGTAACTAGATCATATCCAAAGAAATATTGGTTGAATAGCTACTATGTGCTTTATGGGAATTCAAAGAACACATGTCATAACCATGAACTTTAAAGAAAATTTCAAAATGGTTCTATATTGCTTTTCTCTTTTTCAGTCCCTCGCAGTGATGAACAGTGCTATAAAAACACACTAAGAATATTTGTTGAATATGCCACCTTAAAAAACAATTGTGTTAGAGTAGGGTAAAATCATGACTGGTGTAGCATTTTTGTTAAAGAAATGTTATATTTGCCTGATACTATTCAAGAACATTTCTCCTTATATAAGGCTTATCCCAGTAATGCTGCTTAGGTCAGTGTCTGTCTGGATTATCTGCAGCCGAAATGCCAACTCTGTAAATTAAAACTGTCAAGTGACAGCTTTCCCATAGCATGCATAACCAACCTTTAAAATTATTTATACTCCATTCCCTTTCTCTGGCCAGATTAAATTCTCCTTTCCTAAGCTATTTTTGTCTCACTTCAGACTGTGGCATAAATTCAACATGTTCTAAACAATTACATGGCTACATGGCCCTCCTATTTTCCAGTTCTCAAGTGAGTTTTATTCAGACTGTCCAACAGCAAAAGAAACTTTTCCAATTTCACTAAAAATATGGGTTTTCAAACTAGATTCCTCCAGGTATGTGTATGTGAATCGTTGATAATAATGACAGGCCATGAAAATGCTATGAAGTATGATAGGTTCACATTAAGTCCTTTATTTAACATTCTGAGGAAATAATTCCTTTCAGCATGCAAGTGGAAATGTTCTTTTCACTAATCTGCCTGTCTCATCTTACTATGCACGCTGATCATGCAGAGAAGTAAACATTATATTAAAGTTTCCTAATGTGAAAATACATTTTCATCTGAAACTTACCATTTTATATTTAAGTTGATTAATAGTAGAAATGAGATAGTAAAGGGACAGAAAATGGATATAATAAATATTGACTAAAAAGAATTGTGAAAATAGACATTATTTAAATGTTTTTCCAAAACACCCCTAACCAATGTTACAGAGAAAACATTACCTCTCACTGCTAAGTTTGACAATAAAAGGTTTCTAATCTAGCAAGATGCATTTATCCACAGATATTTACATCTTAAACATCTACCAGTCAGTGGCTGACTGGCAGTTTCTATATCTGACAGGTAGAAAACACAACAGCATAAGTGCAACTCTTGGCAATGGTCTTTGTCCTTCACAGACCTGCTGTGACAAGTTAATTGCTCATTGGAGATTTCTGTGCCTAAGATTCCCACAGAAATGATGATGTAGCATGGTTGTTTGGTTTTTATTATTCATCAGACTTATTAAAAAGACTTGAATAAAACTTTAAATCAATGTCTTAAGAAAATTCTCTTTGAAAATAGAGCATAGCTTAATTTTGAACATTAATGCACTAAAATCATATAGTCATGTTTGATTATACTCTAAAATTGACTTTTGACTTTTAAAAAAAAGTTTCATTGTTTAACTTTTTTGTAAGTACACAAGATTAATTTTCAATATACAATAAAACACACTGTTCAAAAGCAGCAACAGTAAAATACATTTTTACAATGTTAATAGGAGTCATAGTTGTATCCTTGATTTTTTAGGGTACTTCTTAAATAGGGACTGTACTTAAAGAGTTCCCTTTGCACTAGTATGCAGACATCCACTGGAGTATTTGCCTCTATTAAGTATACGTAATTACTCCTTGCAAATTTTTTCATTTTATTTTTGTATCATTACAAAGGTAGCACTCTTGTTATATTAAATGTTGGGTGTGTGTGTTTTTTAAAAATCAGACTTCCTCATAACCTGAATAACCATTCATAGCACTGACCAATCTGAGGAGATTGAAAGGGATGAAATCCTCCATTCCTTTCATGTGTCTGGTATAACTGGAATCATTCAGTCAACCTGCAGTTCTTGTAATAATTTCCCTGTTTATCACGATTTGCTGATCTGGTCTTTCCATAGTGTTTCATCTTCCATAGGCTCTTCCTCATAATGCCCTTATTATATATTCAATTTATCTCCCAATTGTTGGCTTTTGCATATCTGCTGATGAAAAGTCCTGCCTACCATGATAAAGCCAAGAACATATGGTGTGCTGAGGAAAGTAACATAATTTCCCAGTAGGAGAAGTCTCGTATCTTAGGTCTTCTTTTGAGGCTTATAGTCAGTATCAGCTTTCAGAGGTGTTTTCTTACTTCTGGCTATCTGGACCATTGTATGTAAGCCCACATAGTGGGCCCAGTCTGGAGACCCCCTACTAATACATCTGGATGCTGATTCACAAGTGCAGATCTGTACAGGTTTGTGAGTCCTCAGGTCACAGGAATCTCCTGCCCAATTATGGGATGGACTACCATTCTCTAAGAATCAGTAGTTTAAATCTATTGGTCTGAGCAGAGTAGACACCTCTAGCACAGCAGAGAACCACAATGGTGCAGGATCCATAGAAATATGGCAGTTGCAAGAGTAGCAGACCCATGACTACCTGACAGAATTTAGTCAACTAGTCAGCAATAACGTATTTACATACTATTTAAAATGTGTCCTTTTTCTCAAAAGTCAAAGTTTTTTCTAGTTTTTAAGGCTTGATCTGTGTGATTTTTCAAACTATAATAGAAATAAGTGGTACCTCATCTGAGAGTCTAAGACTTACTAGTCCATTTGTGAGTTTGAACCCAGCTTTTAGAGCTTGATGAGTATAGTTGCCCGGTTACTTCATGTCAGCACTGTTTATGGTAATTATAGGATCTGTGGATCACAAGGTTCACAACTTGTATCACGAGTTCTACAAGAAAACTGGCTAATACTGATTTGACTTTGCTTACCATTTACAGACTGAAATCTTATCCCACCAAATTCATGTTTTGAAAAGTCATTACATGAGAAACTCACTTTCCAATTTGCATCACTGTGCTCACCATATTTTGGAGAGTAACTGTACATTTACTGCACTATTGTATATAATAGTCAAGCTTTTCATTATGATAATATCTCTGACTATGCTACATCACCAACACATTCTTCCACTGATCATTTATACTTTAGCTTTGTCAAAAGTATTTTGCCACATGAAGGTTTTTAATTTTTACACAATGATATATTTTTCTTTATGACTTGAGTTCCCTGAATTTTTTTTTTTTTAATCTTATATATGAGCCTCCCTGGTGGCCTAGGGGCTAACTCTCAGCACTACCACCTTGATGGCCCTCGTAGATGGCTTGAGTTGGATCTCCAGCCAGGGAGCTAACCCACATGTGGTGCAACAGAACTCTCTTGCTGCTCCTTCAGCCATGTATTTCAGTAGATCTGCCTGTTCTGCTCCCCACTCTGTCTCTGGTGAATCCTCACACCCCCTCCCCTCTGGCCTATACCCCAGTTCTTCTATGCATAATCTTTAAAATAAATAACTCTTCCTATATATTTTAAGACTGAAGTCTTTAAAATCTATTGTTCTTATCATTTATTTGCAAAGGAACAAAATGCATTTCTCAAGCTCTTTAGTTTTCCTTAAATCAGATGAAGTCAAATGTTTCCTAGCTGAGCAATTTTCTTTAAACTTTTGTTCCTATAAAAGCCTGACTCAATTCTTTTTATCAAAAGCTCTTACACCGTTTACAGAGTATATGTTTATAAGAAAGTTTGATGTAAGTATACGAGCAGTCTCTAAATAGAAGTTCTAATAAATCCTAAGATGCAGCACTACACAGACTGAGAATACAATTTGATCCCTAAAGCTCTCTCCAGTGAAAACAGTCAACAAAAGACCTCAGTGTTCATGGAAAACCGAGTTCTTCAAAGCAGGTAAAAAGTCCTGTTTACGCCTTCCAGAGAGCAGAAGAGAAAGGGCTTTCAGATTATAAACGACAGAGTTGCCCTTGTGTAGCTCTGAACAAGTGTGACAAGGCTTTACTTCTTCAGGGCCTAAATCATGAAGACAGTGGAACAGCGGGACTGAAAACGAACAAAAAGGAAAACTTCTAGCTTTGACGCAAAGCATTGCATGGGTCCTTGACAAAACTGAAGATTTTTAATTTTTAAAAACTGCTTCCTTTAAGCAGTGCCTAACCTTTAATTATCTGTGACAACACGTCAAGTGAGCAGCAGTACAAAGGATGCATGTGATTTCGAAATGCCACAAATGGAGCCAAGTGCAGTTGCCCGCGTCTGTAGTATGGAGGCGTGACCAGAAATGACTGTAGGGAGCACGGGGCTTTATCTGCATCACCAGACACCACCCCATCTTCTATAGGTTAAATTTGTGAAGATAACTTTCTCCCCGCTTGGAAGTGCCCCCGGCGACAAGAATTCGCCTGGTCCAAGCTAAGGCCCTGGCGTTCAAGGTGTTGAGTCACCGGGGAGAGCGGTCCTGCGACACAAATATTACTTGATGACGGAGATGGCAGGGATGCAGGTGCCAAGGTAAACCTCTGGCGACGACGACTCTGGTCATGACTTAAGGCGGGAGCAAGCGGGGTCGGAACTACGCCACGGCTCCTGCCCTAAAGGGATTGTATTTTAAGTTGGAGGCAAACTTCAAGTCTGCACTTGTGACACGGGTGCACGCCGGCGTGGTCTTAACCACCAGCACAAGGGCCGGCCGCAGGATCCCCTCTCGTCGCTAGAAGGGCCTCTTCCCCCGGCTCCACGCGGTACCCCACCCCGGGCTTCTCCCCCCTCCACCTCGGAGTCCTCCCCCGGCCCCTTCCCTCCCCCGCCCGCGAGACGCCCGGACTGGAGCACAGCGCCATTCATCAACCGGTTCACACCGGCGGCGACCGCCGCGCGGTGACGTCCGCAAGAGGCGGGCCTCCGCCCCCGCTCCCCGGCGTTCGGCCGGGAGCCCCGGGCCGCGATTGGTGGCCGGGGCGTCGCACGTCGCGCGGACTATAAAAGGCCGGGCTTGTGACGCAAAGGCGCCTCGGCGCGCGCATTGGCTCCCTCGACTGCGGGCCGGCTCGGCGACGCGCTCTCCTCGGAGCCGCTCACTGCATGGTAGAGTCTGGTGCCCCCGCTGCCGCCTGCAACGCCGCCGCCGCCCCGCGACGACCGCCGCCGCCCCCTGCCCTGCAGCCGCCGCCACTGCCGCCGCCTGTGTCGCCGCCGCCTCGGGACCGGCTGTATGATTAGGCCACAATCTTCAATGAGTAAACATATTCCTGTGAGTATCCGTCGTGCCGCCGCCGCCCCCGGGGCCGGGGACCCGCGGCCGGCCCCGCGTCCCCGCCTTTGTTCGGGTCCCGGCGTCCGCCCCCCGCCGCCCGGCCTGCGGTGCCGGCGCGTCGGGCGCCGGCGGGATCCGGGCCGCGGCGGGGTGGCCGGCCGGCGGCAGCCGGCGGCGGGGCCGCGGGCGCCGGGGCCGCGGGCTGCGGGGCGGCGGTTGGCCGGAGGCGCCGGCTTCCTGGTCCCCGCCGAGCCCGGGGCGGCGGGGGCGGTTTGGGCCACCGGGGCGGGCCGGGCGGGGCGGCACAAAAGCCGCTTTGTGACCGCCGCCTCCGCCCTTGGCCCTCGGGTCCGGCGCGCCCGGTGCGGGCCCGGCGGGCCCCGTGGCGTCCCGAGGCCCCTTTGTTTGGCCAAAAGAGAGCGGCCCGCCCGGAGCGGGAGACGTGGCCCGGGGTGGGGCGAGGGCGCGCGTGTCACTGCGGAGCCGGATACGGGGAGGGCGCGCCGGCGGCGGCGGGGTCGCCAGCGGACCCGGGCCGGCGTGGGCTAGGCGGGCGGCCCCGCAGGGCTGGTAACGGTCTCGGCCGCGGCTCCCGGGGCTCGGGCGCCGGCGCGGGACGGGAGCCTGCCGCAGCCATCCCTGCGCTCCGCGGCCGGGACCGGCGCCTCAGACAAAATGGCCTCGGCGCTCGCGCCTGACTGAAGGCGCGGCGTGAACCCGTGATTGCGGCGCGGACTGGGGCGCCGCGGGCGGGCCCCGTGGGTGCGCGATCCGTGCGGCGGCCATTGGGGGCTTGCCGAGCGCCGCAGCCCTGCCGGGCCCTGAGCTTTGCTCTGCTAGGTGAGGAGATCGGCTCCCTGCCCCGCCCTGTTCCCTCGGTCTTCACCTGGTAATTCGAGCTGTTCCGGATTTAATGCCCCACTTCGGGCTGAGGAGAACGGGAACAAGTCGAGTCATGTCCTTCCTTCGGGGCTAGTCGTTCGGGAGCGGGCCTGGGTCTCGGGCACCTTGGAAACGGCCGGGGCTGCTGTTGCGCTGAGGGTGTCCCCGGCTGGGCACCGCCGGGCACTTTCGCTGCCAATCCCGAGGTGGCCCGGGATGGCGCCTGGGAATCCGGGACTGTGGAGAAAGAACAGTTCCTGAAATCCTTGGTGTAAGGAGTTGTTGCTTCCTTGTCGGCTGGTGGCAACAGTAGCCGGCGAGAGCCAGGATTCTGAGGTTTATCTGGTGTCGGTAGAAGCCGCTACCATTCCCAGAGTATTAAGTTGCTGTTTGCACTGGAGTTACAGCCGTCTACCTGCGGGAGCCAGATGCAGAGGCAATGCTTCCGGTTAAGTCTTTTTACATGAATTTTGTTTGCTGGCAGTAAATCACAGTTGAAACCCAGAAGTCTAGCTCACTCGCAAGTGTTAGCAGTATTTTATACATGGCTTTATTCTGGGATGCACGACCTAAAAGGTGTGGCATAAACTCCAGTGAACTGTTTGATAAAGTGGTTCCCGATACTGCCTTGACTTTACGACCTGACAAATTGACTCAAGCTTCTGCAAAGAATTTGCTCTTTTCTCCACCGTGTTATAGTATTGTGAGTATGTGCAACTGACTAGTGAGAGGTGGGAAAATACCTTGGTGTTTCTGAGCTGCCAATCATCAATAGTGTTCCCCCTCCCCCCCCATTGGAGGAAGGGCTAGCAGAAAGATACTAGTTACTAGTGGTCACTGCTGCTCTGTGGAAGTCCCCAGCCACTGGGTGGCTCCACTTAATAAAAATAAGTGGTTGACTAAGTGAATTATTTTTATATTGTTTCTTCTGCAGCTTCATGAAACTGCTTACAAGATATGGCCTAGACTCAGCTGTAAGAGAAATTTTGGCTGTTCAATATACATTGTTGAAATACTCTAACAAATCAGCTTTCGATTGAAAAAAAAGACAGTAGAACCTGTCAATTAAAAAGTAATGAAGTATAAGAGTCAGTGTCCTTAACAGTTTACATGTGATTTTCTTTAATTCTTTCTATGTCCTTGGGAAGGTACCAGAATACACTTTTTATTCTAAGGAAGACAGTTTAGGATTGAAAGTGAAAGTATCTTTTATTTAAATGATTTCCAGATTACTGCAAGCCTGCACTGCAAATAGAGTGTATGTTTGGTCACATGCATAGTCCTAATGTTAATTTGATCACTTTATTTTCTCAGCCCAGCTAGCAAGTAGATGAAATAACAATCTCTGAGGACTTTATGTGGACAAATTTTGAAATCATGAAAGTTTATCTTAAGGGATGACCTTTTAAAAAATTCCCCCTGAGGGCTAGTTCCTTTGTTTCCACAGGGAAAAAAAAAAATGGCCTGAGGTTTTTTCCTGTGATCTGCTGGAATTCCATATGATTATTCCTGAAAATTTAGCAAGGTTTTAGAAACTGTAGCTATCATGATTCTCTACTCAAAGGTGTAAAATTAAAATAGTTATGATTTGATTTTGTTTGGTTGTTTTCCCATAAAAATGAAATTAAGGTATTTTTTGTAACAACTGGCACTTAGTACCCTTGCTAATCTATTAATATTCCTTAGTCTTATCTGTATTCCCCACTACACAAGTTCTTTATAAATTACTAGCTAAAAGGAAACATTAACACAGATAATTTCTGTGTACATATTCTGAAAATTTGAATATTCATGTAATGTTTGATATTAAGACAAGGCTGGCTTAGTTTTTTACTGGGAACTTGGGGAGAATATAAGCATATTTACAGTGGTACTTTGCTTTTGACAATTAGATTTCACTTTTAAATTGAATAAGTGAAACTGGTTTTAAAATGTAAGAGTATTAAAATTATAAATGTCTTTATAGTTGTAAATGGAAATTTTTTTTAAGATTCATAAACATCCTTTCAGTACTTGACATACAAGTTGTTTAACTTCCAGAGACTCAAATAAGAAAAGTCTGTTAAATTGTTGAGGTCCAAATGAGAAGTGTGTGTGGAAGAAATTTGAAACCCTGGTTTCTTTTTTCTCGTAAGAATATATTAAGTCTATGTAAAAATAAAAATCAATATAGAAGGGTGTACAAGAGCTTGTAACGACGTGGAACAACCAGCCATTAAAAGAAAGAATATAGACGACTATAAGTGATTACCAAATGTAACCATATGATAATCTTTGTGTGACCCAAGTAATTTTGATTTAAAGTAATATGTTTGGATACTTATTTTATACTTTTTTAATTTAATCTGTTTGAGTCAGGTAAAAGTTGAGAAGATGGCTTGGGCTGAAATTTGAAAAGATACTCAAATACTTTGAAACATAACATGATCCTTTTGAATTAGAAAACAACTTTTTTTCTCTCTTTCTCTCTTTTTCTTTTAAACAGCAGTTCTGTGGTGTTCTTGGTCACACATTTATGGAGTTTCTGAAGGGCAGTGGAGATTACTGCCAGGCACAGCACGACCTCTATGCAGACAAGTGAACTGTAGAATTCATTACTACTCCACCAAGAAGCCCCCATAAGAGTGGTTAACCTGGACACAGAAGTGTTGAATTGAAATCTACAGAGCATTTTACAAGAGTTCTGACCTGGATGGGGTAAACCTCAGTGCACTTCCTTTCTATTGCCTCAGTATTACTGGATTGAAGAATTGCTGCTTCTTAGGAGGTTCATTTCATTTCCCATTACTTCCAACTTCATTACTCAAAGCACTGAGAATTTCAAGTGGAGTATATTGAAGTAGACTCAAGTTTCTTTGCATCATTTCTGTATTCAATTTTTTAAATTCTTTCATAACCCCATTGAGTGTTTTTTAACTAAATTAACATGGCTCGAATGAACCGCCCAGCTCCTGTGGAAGTCACATACAAGAACATGAGATTTCTTATTACTCACAACCCAACCAATGCAACCTTAAACAAATTTATAGAGGTAAGGTATGATTCTTTTTTTAAATGTCCTAAACTAATTGCAATTTAATGATGGTGCTTTTTATCTGACAAAATTAATGCTACTTTGGGAAATTTGAGTTGGTATGCCTATAATTCAAACTGATATAAATGAAATTTCACTGTCTTTAGGTTAGAGATACTGTTTTACACATTTTGAGAAGAACATGTACTTGAATTGGTTTGGATTTGTAAGTTAATGTCCAGTTCTTCATGACTCAGAGTGTGCTTAATTTAAATTTGCATGTGGACAATGTAACGGTATGGCTCTCACTTGTAAAAAATTTATAGGACAAAAGCTGCCACTTAAGAATTTTTCATGTATTTGCTTTAATACATTAAGTCTAAGTAAGTTGGTGTCTTCGAATCCACTTTTCACCTTTTAGTTCTGTTTCCTGGTGTTAGCTAAATAGCCAAAGTTCCTTGCCGCCTACCTCTTGACTACAAGGAAGGAATGTAGTGCTGAGTAATTCATTTGGATGAGTACACATTTTATTTCATACATACCTGCAGAAGTTCAGAAACAAATACTTTCCGGATAATAGGGGAATATTTTTTTTTTTAATTACCATCTATATTATTTAAATGCTAGGAGTTACGAGTATTGAATTCTGTGGTTTTAAATGTGGTTTAAATGGCATAGAACTTTTTACACTGTGTTTTGGGGATTTTCAAGTTTGTATATACTTGAATGACTTGAGTGTGTACTACAAATAAACATCTAAAGAATTAATTGAGTCAGATCACATTACATACAGTCATGAGTGATACTTTTGACTCTATCTACCTTTGCCCCGAATTGCCTCTAACCCTCTTTGTTAGTGCTTCATTTCTGTCTAATCAGTGTTAACATAACTGTAAATAACTTAATACATGTATGAAGGACCATTGTATGTTTTTAAAAAAAACTTCTGATTTATTAAGAATATATGTGCTGAACACTCCCTTTTCCTTTTGTGTTATTCTAGTATTGTCTATTAAAATTAGATTTTGCTTCCTCTTAAACATTGCATGTGTTATACCTTCCATTCCATGAGTTTCTGTTAACTAGAAAACAGCAATTAGGAAAGAAATCAGAATGGCAAATTGTGAGTAGTAGTATTTGCTTGTGTGAATACTTCATTGTCTTCTTATGTATTTTACCCAGGAACTTAAGAAGTATGGAGTTACCACAATAGTAAGAGTATGTGAAGCAACTTATGACACTACTCCTGTGGAGAAAGAAGGCATCCGTGTTCTTGTAAGTATTTAATAGTGACTATGGGTTTATGACACTGTACTACTAAGGTTTATTCAAAAAGCATGGACTTCAAAAAGCTTAGTATTTTAAGTTACTACAAAATTGTACAGTATCTTAATTTCCAAATAAAGATGAAAGCTAAGGAAAGGTTTGAAGTAATCAAAGACCTTTATAATTAAGATTCAGCATTTATTTGATTGATAGGTTTAATAAACCACATGTTTAAACATGTTCAAATGCTTTTGAAAACATTGGGGTATTAGAAACTTGAGATTATTAGTGTGGTTTTTATATGAAAAATCTAAGATATTTATTCTTTCGACTTAGGATTGGCCTTTTGATGATGGTGCACCACCATCCAACCAGATTGTTGATGACTGGTTAAGTCTTGTAAAAATTAAGTTTCGTGAAGAACCTGGTTGTTGTATTGCTGTTCATTGTGTTGCAGGCCTTGGGAGGTAAGAAAATTTTCCTGAATCCTTTTAAAATAATTGAATAATCCTTTAAAAATTATCCTTTAAAAATAATCATAGATCTAGAAAAACTTGATTTTTGACTTCAGTAAGACTCAGTTATCCTTTTGTGAATCAATTTGCTTTTGTAGGTTGTTGACTGAACTAAATTAAAAATGAAAATGTGGTGAATGTAGTAGGCTGGAATTAACAAGCTGTAACTGCAATTTACATTTGTCTCTGTGGGCAAGTGTCTAGATGTGTTAGATTTTATCAGTGGTATTGGAATCATTGTCCAACTTCTTTGGGGGAAAGAGCTCTTAAAGTGTTTCTTTTACATTGCATGAGTTATATTTTGATAGCATTGTTTATCCTGGAGATTCTGATTTAGTAGGAGCTCATTACCCAGTGGTGCCCAAATACACACTTGCTACATTCCTATGAATCCATAACCACCACTTTCACCCCCCCCTCCCCTAAAAAAAAGCCATATTGTGGCTTAAAAGTCAAATGAAAATCCATAGGGGAGAGGGTGGGTGGGTTTAGCTTGCAACCATGTCAGAGTCTCATTGACAATAAAGAAAGCAAACTTTTCACTGCTTGGAATCACTACTTGATTAATCCTCAAAATAAACCTCCAATAACACACTTGTCTTTTTTAAGATTTTATTTATTTTTGCATAGAACAACTCGGGTGCAGGCCAGAGGTGCGGGAGGTGAGATGATTCACCAGAGACGGAGTGGGAAGCAGAACAGGCAGATCTACTGAAATACACTGCTAAAGGGAGCAGTGGGCGAAACAGAAGAGGTCTGCTACGCCTTGTGGATTGTTAGCTCCCTGGCAAGGGATTGAATTCAGGCCATCTCTGTGGGTTTTCAAGGTGGTAGCGCTGAGACTTAACCTAGGCCACCAGGGAGGCCCTAGAATTATTTATAAATAGCCAAAGACATAGTTCATTTTGGGTCTAGATAAAAATCTTGGTCTGATATAAAAATAAGGAAAAGTTTGTAGATTAAAGATTAGCATAGAGTCAACATTTACTACCTTTAATATAGAAGTTTGGCAGGTGATAATACTTTTGGGTTGGGAATGTTTGGAGTGATGGGTTTCTTAGTCCTGTATTTTGAAAAGCTTTATCAAAATCCTTTCTTTATCAGAGCTCCAGTGCTTGTTGCCCTAGCATTAATTGAAGGTGGAATGAAATACGAAGATGCAGTACAGTTCATAAGACAGTAAGTATTTAATGAAATTTTCATTTTGTCCTTGAAAGTCAGTAAGTTTAAACACTTAATAGTTCATCTGACCATTAGTTAAGATAATAAATATACAATAAATAGGTTTCAAAGATAAGTAAGTTGACAACTCTCAAATTAAACCAGCCACCTTGTAGTCAACTTGCCTGTCACTAGGGACAATATCTTTCTGACTTCAATTACCATATTTTAATGTTGTCTTTTCTTGGACTTCACATAAATGGATTCTTAATGTTTAGTTATTATAACCACCACTTAAAGAAGTCTAGAAAATTAATTATTTACTACCATTTACACACATACCCTGTCTAGTTCTGTGTTGTGACATCAAATTAATCAAAAGATAAATTGCCACAAAAGAGGTGACAACTACCTGTGTAGCACAGTAAATGTTAATGCAGTGAGATTTTACTTTAATTACTACAGAAATTTGCCTTAATTCTCTTTCAGAAAGCGACGTGGAGCATTTAACAGCAAGCAACTTTTATATTTGGAGAAGTATCGCCCTAAAATGCGACTGCGTTTCAAAGACTCCAATGGTCATAGAAACAACTGTTGTGTCCAATAAAACTGGGGTGCCTGATGCCATTGCCTTGGAAATGGAACTTGAGACAGTACTTAATTTGTCGTACATATGGCTTGCTGAATAAGTCTAATGAAGCTTCCGTAGGAGCATTGAAAAGCAGTTTTACCAGGCCACAAAGTTGCAACCTCTATATTTGGGTTACAATCAACCTATTTGGACAGTTGACAAGATTCTTGCTGTTCACCATTTAAAATGTGCTTATCATTTGTACCAATTGATCTTTCCTGAAATCATGCAGTTTTGAGTTATGTCTTTAAATCTATTCCCATGCCAGAATCTTACCAATATATAAGAAAAATTTAGAAAGATTAGGTGCCAAAATACCCAGCACAATACTTGTATATTTTTAGTATCGTACAGAACTAAAATCCCAGGAACTATGAACACTCTGGACCTTATGTGGTTTACTCCTTCAGTCATTTCAAACAGAAAATAGGGCCTATATGGTTATTTGCCTGCTCACTTTATGTTTACATCTCCCACATTTGTGCCGGTAATACATCAGGTTTGCTCAACTCCCCCCCCCCCCTTTTTATTTTTAACCAAGTCTTACAGTGATTATTTAATGTCTTTCTATAAATCTCATTTTGTGCTGTTATGGAAAAACCTCCATTTTGAAAATTTACATTGTACAGAAGCACATGTCTTTAACTGTCTCCAGACAAAAAAGCCTTACAGTTAATTTTAATGTTTGCACTTTCGGGTGCAACTCTTAACAGGGAGGGCCTGAAAAAAGAATGGGAAGGGGCTATTAAGTATTTTTAGGAAAATGTTGCCTTTGTCTTGTGCAGAACATGTAGAATATGCTCTTTAATTTAGTAAATATTTTTTTAAACTGTAGAGATGCTTTGTTATTGTAGCTAAAATGATTCTTAATCATAAAATTTCTGAAATTCTTGTTATTTTTTTTTTTCATACTTACCTGAGGTTGTTTACCAACTTATTTCTGTTTTGGAGTGTGATTCCCCCCCCCCCCTTCCCAACCTCTCTTGCAAAAAAACAAAAAGTGGGTTTCTGCTAATGAATTGAGCAGACATCTAATATTTTATATGCCTTTTGAGCTGTGTAACTTAATATTTGGATACTTGATAATTTGTTTTATTATGTAATTGATAAAATGGTGATGTGTATTAATGTTAGTTCAACCATATATTTATACCGTCCGGGAATGTGTGGTTATAGTTCTGTGGGAGAAATAATTTGTCAGTGTTCACCAGCTTGTAAAAATCTAGTGCGAGAGCTTAAACATCTAAATAAATAATGAAATGCATTTACCATTGAGATTGCTTAAAGTTAATTTATTTTGTATAAGATGATGTGAATGAATTTGTGCTTCACATAAGTACCATTGAAGGTAAAGTATGTAGGTTTTTTTGTTTGTTTTTTTAACAAATGAAGGATTAAGTGAAGTTGGCATTTTAGTTTTTAGTAAGGTCCTTGTAGATGTTTTATTAAGGTCATGAGAGTGTTTAATGTTACAGTGCTTTCAATTATAAATTTACTTTGTAAAAGTTTAGGTAATTTTGAACCAATGTGCTGAGGTGAAACAATGTATATAATAGAGGAAGACCTTGACTTGAAATTTTTTTTTTTTAATAGAGGCATGTTTTATTTATTTGTTTGTTTTGTTTATACAAGCACTGGGTACAGTCAGAAGCGCGGGAGGGTGAAAGAATTCACCAGAGCCAGAGCAGGGAGCAGACCAGGCAGAAGGACCGAAGTGCACTGCTGAGGGGAGCAGAGGGCGGCAGGAGAGGTCTGCGCGCCATGTGGGACCCTCCTCCGGTGGCCGGGGAGCAGCCGGGGATCGAACCGGCGCCGCAGAGGCCGCGGGCAGCTTCGCAACCCAACACTCAGCCGCTGCGCCACCAGGGAGGCCCCCTTGACTTGAAATTTAGTTCCACTAATAGTGGTTTAGGGCAGTTTAATTCTTGACCCTCAATTTTTTCACTTGCAAATTAATTAAATACCTTTATAGGTTTTTAAATTAATTTGAACATAAGTGTTTGGCCCATAAGAACTTAATGTTTCTGTAACCTGACATTTCCTTTGCATAGCTCCTACTAATTTAAAAGGGACAGATAATGATTTTCTTTGCAGTAAAAGACTCAAAGTATGAATCGATGTCTTGTATTTAAAAAAATTTGCTTTTCTTTTATTTATGCCAGTTCAGTACTTTATATATTCCATTCTTAAAACTTAAGAGTATAGGGGACAAAAGTTAACAAGAGGGGCCTCTGGAGACCCTTGGTTTTCATTTTTAGTTTTTCGTTTTGTTTTTGAAGTAACAACGGTTTACAACATTGTGATTTAGAGATATAGGATCTCCTTCAGGTGGTGTTACCACACCATACCTTACCACCAAAATGCCCACATACCTCCATAATTGGCTCTTTTTTAAAATTGAAAATAGTTTATTCAAAGATAATTTTGTGTAACTGAATATGAAATAATTATTACCATACACCCCATAAAAATGTGTGTGGTGAGAGAAGGTACCATCATGAGGAATGAAAAATTCTTTGAGTTTGAAACTGTGTTTGCAGTGTTGAATTGTATACACAGTGCTAAGAATTATAGACCATATCTGTATAATATACAACTTGATAAGATTTGCTTTTCATCCAAATACTCAGTGACTTCAGATATGGGTAGGGGTATCTGTAACACTTGTAGAAATTAAGTTGAAAGTAAATAGAATTTTAGATAGAGTTAAGGTCTTGAATACCAGAGGCTACCAGATGGTATCCTAAAATATGGTGGTTTTGTATAACAAATCTTCCTCAGTAGACTGATGTGACTAGTTGAGAAGGCATGTCTAAGGAACCATAATGTTGCTGACATGTAAGTAATATGATGACTAAATTACAGACGATGCAATCTTGTTTTGTAAAGGAAAAGCTTGGAAATAAGTCTGTCTCATTTTGTAGCTCACTTCATTATTCCTACTTGTGTCCTCCTTTTCCTAGGACAGCTCATTTTATTCCCACAATGTCATACAATTCCATGCCTAAAAACATCCAGCCTAGGCATGGTATCATAGCTGGTTACATTCCCCTCTAGCTTGAGCACTTCAAAATTATGTCAGTCCCCAACTTGACTTCAGAATCTCAATCTGTTTTAAAATGCCATTCTGTTCATTTAACAAATCTTTTTGCTAGGCATTAATGACTGTCAACATTAAAGGTGGTAGCCCCAAATTTTGTTAACCAAGTACTGAGCCTTTTCCATAAGAGATTGCAAAATTGGGGTTTCCGTAATATATAAATTTATTTTAAAAGTTTATTTATTAAAAAAGTTTATTAAATGGGTTTGTTTTAAAAAGTATATCCACAGCAACACACACACACACACGCGCACACACACACACACACCCCACATAACTAATATCAAATATAAGAGGATAAAGTTCCTAAGTAACCAAAGTAAATCCATGAAATTTTGGCACTAAATTGAGTTTTAGAAATTAGGTATTGAAGTCTAATCTTTTTTTAGATATAACGTTAGCAGGCGATGGTAATTTGGTTTCCTGCCAGATTAGTGATAGTAAATATGAGGTGGAGTCCAGGGGGAAGAAGCACATGGGTAGTGATGATATATACTTGCCTGACATTGAGAGACTTGGATTAGAGAAACTAAATTTAAAAAGCACAGCCAAATAATTTGGGACATGCCAGTATAATAACAGCCGTAGGCTTACCTCAGTAGACCTTCAGGCTGGCTTTGTCTTACACACCACACAAAAACTAAAACGAGGGCCTCCCTGGTGGCGCAAGGTGTTAAGATGCAACCTATGAAGCTATTTGCAAACCACTGCAGCATGAGCCCCAGCCAGGCAGCTACCCACGTGGCGCCCGCACACCTCTCCTGACTTGCCCGCTACTCCCCTTAGTAGTGTATTTCAGTCAATTTGCCTACTCTGTCTCTGGTGAATCCTCACCCCCCATACCTCTGGCCTGTACCCCAGTTCTTTTATATATTCATAAATAAATCTTTAAAAGAAAAAACAACTATAATGATTACTCTTAGTCAACAAGATTATAATCAATCAAACTTGGCTTTATGTATTTTAGGGTGAGGAATCTTAGAATCCCATGTTTTCAAGGCAAGTTCTTTTTATTAGGGAAATGTTGCCATGAATAAATGTTTAGAAAATGCCGGGCTACACATTATTCCCATGTTATTTATAACCTTAAATGTGCTAATAAGGATTTGAATCCAAGAGTACAATTTAATATTTAACCATTGTATAGCCTCCAAGAAGGAAAGAAATGTTTCACTCAGAGTGGGTAATTAAGAAACATTTGATAAAGGGAAGTCAACTAAACAGAAAGCACTATTAACATCTCCAGGCCTAAAGAGACAAAGTAGGGGGAATAGTTAATAGAAGGGAAAAAAGACAACCAAATGGAAAGAACTATCTCAAAAAACTGACCCGTAGTAAGGAAGAGGGACTACCAACCAATGGCACTCCAATAGGAGGAGGAGGAGTAAAACCTAATCTCCAAAGCAATTTAATGTCCTACCCGTCTCCCATTCTTCCTTTTAACCAAACTCAAGAGGAAGACAGTTAACAGGAATCTTCAGTCTATATGCAATCCATTCATTGGGCACATAGCAGAAGCAATGGAAGCAAAATATCCTGAACAACTATGAACACTTTTTGTCCACAGGTGACTGGGACCTTAGTATTTTGCAGAAAACACACATTGGGAAAAGTTGGCATTAGCTATAAGAACGCCAAACTTACATACATAACTGTACACTCTTTTTGGTGGCAACATGATGGAAGAATCTGCATTCAAATTCAGTTTAATGAATCAAGTGTTGATTGGGGGTGGGGTAAATAGCGTATGGTTTCTCCAACAAAATGGTAATGTAGGGCCTCCCTGGTGGCACAAGGGATAAGCACAGCACTGTGAAGCTATCCAAAGCCTCTGCAGCATGAGTTCGATTCCCAGCTCCTGGTCAGGGAGATACCCACATGGCTCAGCAGACCTCTCCTGTCTTGTCCCCTACTTCCCTCAACAGTGTATTACAGTCTGCCTGTTCTGTTTCCCACTCTGCTCTGGTGAATCCTCTCACCCCCAACACCAATGGCCTGTACCCCAGTTCTTACATGCATAAACAAATCTTTAAAAAAATCTTTTAAAAATGGCAATGTAATGTCCATTTTCATATATACACTGCAATAGAATAGCATTTTTGCAAAAATATTTCAAGGCTTTAATTTTTCTAAAGGCCTTGATTAACTATTATTCAGATAATTTTGTTTTGAAGTATCTACTATAGTACTCATATAAATTTACCTGTTTTCAATTTTTAATTGATTTAACTCCACTAGATGTTCATATGATAATTTTTTGTGATTTGAGCAGTTCTCCAAAATCACTTCTCTGACATCATATGATCCTAAAATTTAAATTTCAGTTGCATGTGTTTTCATTATGTTATTGGTTATACTGGTTGGTAAGAAAATGACCCACTGTAGGGTAAGGAAAAATGCCAGGCTTTTCTGCCCTCCCACCATCAGGATAGATGATGGATCCTTGTGGTCCTGAATACATGCCTGATGGCAGGTACCTGGGATAGGGTGTGGGCATAGGTAGATGGGATTCACCTGGGCTGAGACTGGGCTTTTAAGGGCGGCGTCACAGGGACACCAGTAGAAGCCAAAAGAGAAGCCGAGAGAGAAGAAAGAGCAGCAGAAGCTGAGAGAAGGCCGGAGAGCCCAGAGTGAAGACCTGCTGGGGGCTGGGAGGCCTGCCAGCCTCCCGGCCCCCCAGCACCTCTGCCTGCCATATGCCTGGTGAACCCCAATAAAAGACCTGCAAAACCCCTGAGGGCTCCAGAACTCCTCCTCTACCCGGTCTGCATGGCATCCTAGAAAACCTGCTCAGTGGCCATTCCTGCTCCCCACACCCACAAATGCTTTTGGATGAGGTAATCATGTTAATTGGGGAGAAATAGTAACAATAAAATATAAAAAACTAATTTTAAAAGTGGATGTTCATTCACGAAAATACTTTTGCTTCCCAAAACTGAATTTGCATAAGAAATCAATGAGTATACAGTTATAAAGATCCCTTCATCTGTAGGATAGGCAACATGAGCTCATCTCCAATATCACAGTGATAGCTGTGACTTAGTGTAATTCCTGTATTCAGTTGTCTTTGTTCATTGAAAACCTGCTCTGCTAGCAGTCTCCCAATACTGTTAAGATAATCTCACAGAACTTAACTGATAAATGCCATTTCTTGTCAACCAGGAATGAAGCCCGAGGGAAACCACTCATCAGTT